ATTATTACACATCACAAGATTGTTGATTTTTTTTGTCTGCTGAACTCAGGAACACCAAGAACTCCCTATTTAAATATTAACAAGTATGTTACAGTTAGGGTTAGGGGTTAGGATTAACTTGAAGCTTAAAATGCAGAATGAAGGAAAACGCAGTGGCCCAAGTTCAGAGTTTTAGTACTGCAAATTGTTTGAATGAATTGTGGTTTCGAAATCTTAATATATAAGTATCTATTAGATTTTTTACAGTATTTTATTAAATTTCCAGTCACCTTGCATTGAATTTGCCAAAAGTGTTCTACTGCACATCAATTTTCAACTCTCTTCTCAGAGTTTCCAAACATGAAGAAACCCCAACTGAATGTTTCTTTAAACATTTTTGAATTATTCCCTGGTGATGACAGAAATCAAGGTCAATTGCAATCAGTTTCACTCTTGCCCAGGTCTGGTTAAAAGCTTATGTGTCATGCTATTGATTTTTTTTTCAGTCAAGACTGATCTAACATATGTATTCAGGCCTAAACATTAAATAAACCTTCTAAATAAAAGCTCGGATTAAGCTATTATAATTTTAAAATGATATCTTTGTTAAAAGTTGATTATTTTTTAACAATAATAATTATCATTGTTAACAGATAATAGCTTTAAAAGGTATCGTTTTAAAGTTATGATAGTTTGATTTCTTTAAAGCAATTATTACTTTAAAGATGTTATGGAGCAAGCTGTTGAATTTCTAAATAATGGCTTTCAAGCTATTATTCTTTAATGCAATAGCTTTCAAGTTGTATTTCAATGTTAAAGCTATTATTTCTAAATAATAGCATTAATTTGCTATTCTTTTGAAATAGTGGCTTTGTGACCTATAGATTTTATTTAGAAGTTTCATTTGATGTTTTGACCTAAGTTGGTATGTTCAGATTAGAATAGGTACTGAAACAAATCAACAGCATGACACAAGAACTAGTAACTAAAACTAGACAAAACTGAAACTGAATGCATTAGTATTGATTTTTTGCCAGGACAAGGGAATAAAAAACTGAATCTATTACACAACTGAAATCTAAAAATATATGAATAAAAAAATTGAAATTGTTTTATAAACAAGAGAAATGACCAGTTATGTTTTCTGTAGTTCTTGTAGGGCTATTGAATTTCTAGAGATTTTCTTCTAACCCACTGAAGTGTCAATAAATATAATGTTAACAGTGGCGGATCCAGACCTTGAGCTAGGGGGGAAGGNGGGGGGGGGGGGGGGGGGGGGTTGCTTGCCCTGCCAGCTTTTCTTCCTTTTGGGATTTCTTTTTTTTTTACAGAAAATAGGGGGGTGGAGGACCCGGGTGCCCCCTCCCCCCCGGGCCCCTCCCCTAGATCCATCACTGATTAAACTGGAGACTTAATATACAACTCTGGAGTAATTGAAACTTAACAGTCCTTGGAATGTTCACTTTAATTTATGTGGCCTTTCTGTTATCATGTCCAGCAAGAGTCCAGATCGTAACTTGATCAGCTCTACACATTGAGGCAGGGATTATAGTACTGTTTGTAATTGACCTCTTCAGTAGTGGTTGTCTGTCCTCACTGGCTGAAAAAAAAATGGACAAAATGCAGTCAGTGGAATATTAAACTCAGGTGAGTTTATACATCTTATTGTTTTAAAAATATTATG